GCAACCGCGGCGGCGGCGCGGCGGCGCCGCGCCTGCTGGTGGTCGCGCGGGCGCGGGGCTGCAAGGGGGGCTCACCCTATGCACGTCGGCCAAATGCAGCTCGAGCTCGGCCATCGAAATCGTGGTGCCGGCGTCTGCGCCGTCCACCGCTGATATCGCCTGCTGCACCGCGCGCGCCACCTGGGCGCGCGTCCGGTACTCGGGCCCCGCGTCGTCGCCGCTGCCGTCGCTGGCGGCGTCGCCGCCGTCGCTGGCGGCGCTTGGGGTGCTGGGCTGGGCGGGCGGGGCCGGGCCGGGCGGAGGCGCCGCAGCAGCGGCGGCGTCCTGTGAAACGTCCAGGGATCTGATATGGGAGGCCAGCTCCTCTGCCTGCAGCTCGCCATCGTGGTTGATGTCCACGAGGTCGAAGTAGCGGGCGGTGGGGGACGCAGAAGCGCCCGCCGCGCCGTCCGCACTCGCCGGGCGCGGGGACAGCAGCAGCACGAGCAGCGCCGCTAGCGCGCTGCTGCGCAGCATGGCCGGCGTCACGGCGTCTTGCTGCTCGCAGCTGCTACTGAGTTCGCTTTGCTCGTGTTCTTCAGGACGCCCTGGGCTACGACCTGGCTCGGTGCCAGTCGTGTTTATCATAAAACATGGTGCATATCGATCAGCCAGATGAGAGTTTCGGAGAGTGCTGAAAGGATTCGTAATTTTACACAACATAGTGATGGGCGTGGTGGACCCAGCTGCACCCAAGACCAAAATCGACCGTTGCGGTGGCAGCGACACCTGGTCCGCCGATCGCCTTCAGTGCAAACACTGTTATAGGTGGGCATAGGATGATAATGAGGCAAAATGTTGTTTATGGGCGATCAGTGTGGGTGCTCAGGTACGGTATCAGGCCGCAAAAAACAGGTGTAGCAGCCGCTTGCTTGCAACAATTGCGGGATGACCAATTGACCAACGCCACGCGGCACAGGTGCACACCGGTCGCCACATAAGAATTGCATTGGGATAGAGCTGCCTGCTTTTAACCAAGCACCGGACCTGATCACAGCTGCCGTGCCTGCGCCGCAGCCGTTTTGCCACACCCAAACCTGGTCAAATCTGGGCAGCCCCGGCGTGCCACACGCGGCCGTACGGTTTCAGCACCTCATCAAGTTGCCTTTCGTTTTGTGGGATCAGCTGCTCCCTAGGTCCCCGGCCATGCAGCACGGGACAAAGCGAAGCCTTTGCGCAGCCTTTTACCAACTCTAGGATGCTGCAGCGCTTGGGATGGTCTAGATCTGTGCCCCTGCCCCACACATGAAAATATGTCAGCAGCCGGAGCACCTTTCCTGCTGTGGTCTGCCCCGCAACGTGATCGGCAGGCGGCGCGCTGAGCTGGCGCTGAGCGAGCTACGGACTGGTCTCCAGTGGGCCATTGGCGTCGCGCATGTGTGGTATTGAGTCAGACGGGGCCGCGGACAGATTTTAGCAGACACCTTGTCCACAGAGTGACGCACTGTCGTGACAAGGCATTGTTACGGATCACGCGGGCCCCTGCATGGGGAGCGAGCCACCATCCTACCGGATTGATCACCCCCCGATCAGCAGGTCAAGGTAACAAAGCAGAGGCCATAGGCCCTCTCTAATGGTACTGGACCAGCAGCCTACAGTACCATTATATGATGTGAATCATGCACAGCATTATCTCACATAACAGTCTCAGCTCACCCGCTCTACATGGTAACACCTGCAACAGTAGCCTTCGAACAGCAGTTGCGCCCGCCGATGCTGGTCCCAGGTGCGCGGCAGACCGAGATCGCACGCCAAGGCTCAGGTGTCGCAAGAGCAACAGTGACGAGGTGCAATTGACAGTTGAAAGTGTATCTTACTCTTGCCGTGAAGTCCCACATCCCTTTCGTCGCGGTGCATGACCCTCGCGAGCACAGTGCGCGTGATCCATTTTTCGCGGTGCCAAGTCAAGGCGCTGTCAGCTCATTGCAATCTTCATGCGCATCAAGATGGCCTGCACGGCTGCACAGCAATCAGCATCGTGCTGGCTGGCGTAGGACCGCATGTTGCACACTGGGCCGCCCGATGACTGGCAAGCGGCCATGGATGCAGCACTTGGCTCGGTGCTCCCCTTATCGCGACGGCAACAGGTAGTGCCGCGTCCAGCAAAACGGAAGCACAGCGACGGCACTGCGGGGCGCGTGCGACAGGGTGGCACCGACCCTCGCTGCCCAGCGAGTGAGTCAGCATCGGAGAAGTCGCCGCCGCCCCCACCGCTGCCGCCACCGCTGCTGACACTGCGGCCGCCGAAGCAGCAACAGCCAAAGCAGCAGCAGCAGCAGCAGCAGCAGCAGCAGCAGCAGCAGCAGCAGCAGCAGCAGCAGCAGCAGCAGCAGCAGCAGCAGCAGCAGCAGCAGCAGCAGCAGAGTAAGAAGAAGCAAAAGCAAAAGCAGCAGCAGAAGCAGCAGCAAAAGCACAAGAAGAAGCAGAAGCAGCAAGCTGCCGTGGCCGGGCATGGCTATTGCGGCATATCCAGGGACGCATGCCGGATACCGCCCGACGCCCCAGCAGCGGCGCCTGTCCATGATGCCCCGCGGCGCGCCGGCTGCGGCGGCTCCTTGGGCGGCGCGCAGCGGGGCGACACGCATGAGCGCAAGCGTAGGCGAGGGCTGCTGCGGTTTGCGTGCAGAAGCAACAGCGACCCCAGCCCTTCACCAGGCGAGGCGACTCCTGATGACTATATGGACGAGGAGGAGGAGGAGGAGGAGGATGTGGACTATGCACGCCTGGACTCAGCTCGCGCAGCAAAGCGGCGCAGGCCGACAGGCGCGCACAGTCTGGGCGTCCCCGACCGCGGCGACGGGTCGGGCCGGCGGCAGCGAGGAAGCGCCATCAAGTCAGGTGGGAATGGGGGGGCGGCGAGACGCCGCGCGGTCGGCTCGTTGGTCTCTAACGGCAGCCAGAGGCCCTTGCGCTCTCCTTCAAAGGCACAACAGCGAGCAAACGCATGAGCGGCATGTGCTGTGATCGTCATTCGCCCTCTAACCTGCAGCCCGCTTGTGAGGCATGCCCTCCCCTTGCATCCGCAGCCTGCGCGACATGCACGCACTAAACGCAATCGTCATCCCTTGTTTTGGAACCCTCCCCTCACGCTCGCAGGGCCGCGTGTCGGTGGCGGCGTCAGCGCGGGTGTCTTTGGTGGTGGCAGTATCGCCAGCCGCGGCAATGCAGCAGATGGGCCAGTTGACGTTCTGCTAGTGCAGCACCAGCACCAGCACCAGCACCAGCACCAGCACCAGCACCAGCACCAGCACCAGCGGCGGCAGCAGCAGCAGCAGCAGCAGCAGCAGCAGCAGCAGCGGCGGCACCAGCAGCAGCGGCGGCAGCAGCAGCAGCAGCAGCAGCAGCAGCAGCAGCAGCAGCAGCAGCAGCAGCAGCAGGAGGAGCCGGGGCCCTGGTTTTCTTTGAGGTCATCAAGCAACCCGCCCCTCAGGATTCCCGATTCGTTCGGCACCAAAAGCTGCCTCAACCTTCCAATGCACGCCGTCAGGAACCTCGCGCCGCCCGCACCCGCCGCCGCGCCTGCCGCCCCCGAGCAGCCGCCTGCCGTTCGCGCCCTCCGGCTGGTGGCGGCGCCCGGTGACGCTGCGGCGGCGGGCGCGCTCGCCTCCCTCTGCCGGACCCTAGGCGGGCCGATGGAGCAAGGGTGTTCAGCGGTGGTGCACAAGAACAAGGCGGGCTGGGAGTGCAAAGTCAAGCTCGGTGTCGGCACGTGCCTCGCCAGGGCGCACATTGCCCTGCGGGACCAGGGGTACGGCCGGGATGCGGTCCGCTGGGGCCGCGGCGGCGCGGCGGGCGGGCTGCTGGAATTTGCCATCGCGAGCGGCGGGCCTGAGGACAGCCCGGCGGCGCGGGCGGGCGCCATGGCGGCGCCCGGAGCCGCGGCCGCCGCGGCCGCGCCGGCAGCGGGGCGCGGCCGCACGTCGTCTTGTGGCGGCGGTGCAGCCAGGGGTATGGGTCGGTTGGCACCGGCCGCGGCCGCGCTGCAGAAGGGCCAAGTCCGGCGCCACGTGCCGGCGCCGGCGCCTGCAAGGCCGTCTCCGCCGCCGCCGCCACCAATGCAGCAGCCGCAGCAGCAGCAGCAGCAGCAGCAGCAGCAGCAGCAGCAGCAGCAGCAGCAGCAGCAGCAGCAGCAGCAGCAGCAGCAGCAGCAGCAGCAGCAGCAGCGACAGCAGCGACACAAGCAGCCGCAGCAGCACAAGCAGCAGCAGCTGCAGCAGCAGCAGCAGCAGGAGCAGCAGCAACACAAGCAGCCGCAGCAGCAGCCGCAGCAGCAGCAGCAGCAGCAGCAGCAGCAGCAGCAGCACAAGCAGCAGCAGCCCAAGCAGCAGCTTCACAAGGGCAAGCACAAGGACAAGCAGAGGGAGAAGCAGAAGAGGAAATGGAAGGACAAGGGAAAGGACCAGCAGAAGGCGAAGAAGCGTCAGGGGGATCTGTCTCACTTAGATGAAGGGGGGCCAGCTAAGATGAGGCGGGTGCACGCCCCGCCTGGCAGCCAGCCGGCCACGGCTATCGGCGGTGCGACCGAGGGGGGCCGCAGCACCGGCGGCTGTGCAGGTGGCGCTGGAGCGGAAGACTTGCCAGGCCAAGTAGGGCGTGCTGGCACCACATGCAAGAGCGGGATTGGCTTGGGTGGGCCGCAGCTGGACCGGCGCGTGCTACCACAGCAGCAGCAGCAGCAGCAGCAGCAGCAGCAGCAGCAGCAGCAGCAGCAGCAGCAGCAGCAGCAGCAGCAGCAGCAGCAGCGGCAGGCGCAGGAGCGGCCGCAGGCAAGCGCTCCGCAGCAGCGCTTCTGCGCCCCTGTCACGCTGCGCCGGGGCGACCGTTCCACTGCCAGCGCACCGCCACCGGCCCGCGGCGCCCGCTCTGGTGAGTGAGGCATCACGGGCCGCGGGTAGATGAGCTGAGGTCATCCCTCACTACTAGCAACCGAGTGAGCACACACGCATGCCCGGCCATCTGTCCCAGGAGCCTTGCTTGCTAGCCATCCAGATAGAGCCTCCCTCCCCCCATCTACTCATGCAAACGTCAAAATCTCCTGGGACAGGCGTCCAATTTAGCAATGCCGACGCCGCTGATGAGGGCGCGGACGTCAGCGCCGGCGGCAGCCACGCCCGCGCTGCGCATGTGGAGCGGGTGGCGGTGGCGCAGGGGCCGCGGTTGGCGCCCGCAGTGGCTTCGCAAGCAGCGCCTGCGAGGCCGTCCACGCTGCCACCACCACCGATGCAGCAGCAGCAGCAGCAGCAGCAGCAGCAGCAGCAGCAGCAGCAGCAGCAGCAGCAGCAGCAGCAGCAGCAGCAGCAGCAGCAGGAGCAGCAGCATAAGCACAAGCTGAAGCATAAGCTGAAACACGAGCTCGAGCACAAGCAAGAGCAGAAGAGAAAGCAGAAGGGGAAGGAGGAGGAGCGGGAGCGGGAGCGGGAGCGGGAGCGGGAGCGGGAGCGGGAGCAGGGGGACGCGCAGGATGAGGAGTGGGATGAGGAGGACGAGGAGGAGAAGGACACGCAGAATGAGGAGAAGCGCGATCGGGATATGTCCGACATGGTTAAAGAGGTGCGAGCTAAGATGCTGCGCGCGGCCCCCCTGCTTGGCAGTGGCTTGGCTGCAGCGGAAAGCATTGCGACTGAGGGGGCGCGCGGCGGCGGCGGTGCCGGTGGCGCTGGAGCAGATAGCTTGCCAGACCAACCAGGGCCTGCTGGCACCGCATGCAAGAGCGGACTTGGCCTGGGCGGGTCGCAGCTGGGCCTCCACAAGCAGCCGCCGTCGCCGCCGCCGCTTCAGCAGCAGCAGCAGCAGCAGCAGCAGCAGCAGCGGGAGCAGGAGCAGCGGCAGTGGCGGCGGCGGCCGTGGCCATCCGGTGCCCCTGTGTTGGTCACTGAGGAGGAGGTCATGTCGTGCAGCCTGCTGCGCCTGCCAAGCACCACAACGGGCCTGGCTGGGGCCAGCAGGCGTGAGCCCGGCCGCAAAGCCGGCGATTCTGGTGCCACCACCAAGGGCACTGTGGGCACCACCAAGGGCAAGGGCACTGTGCTGGCACCTGGCTATGCCTGCGAGCGGCAGCGCGCCGCCGGCACTGGGGGCCAGGAGGCCGGCGCTGACGAGCTGCGCAGGGCCAGCAAGAGCCCCAGCGGCGGTGGCAGCAGTGGCTGTGAGGAGGGCGGGCGCAGCGCCGGCGCCAGCGCAGGGCAAGGAGGACAGGCGGTGATGGCCGTTATCGGCGGCAGCAAGGCCAGCGGGCGCGAGGGCGGCCCCTGCGCGGCTCGCGCCAGCCCGCCGGGCGCCGGCGCAGGCGGCGCGGCCGCCGCGCCGCGCGGCGTCGAGGGC